TAACGTCATATGTCAACTATTGCATGGACCTGTGCATTCCACTCAAAAAGATCAGACACTACAATAACAATAAACCGTGGTTTAACAGAGACATTAAACAATTCAGAAGTGAGAAGAATTCAGCTCACCTATCAGGAAACAAAGAACAATATATGGCTGCCAAATACAAACTGAGATCTGCAATAAGAAGAGCCAAATCCAATTATGCCACTAAACTTGAAGAACAAATCACCACTTATAACACACAGTTCATTTGGAAAAAACTCCAAAACATGACAAATTATAAAAAGAAGCCCACTATTACATCTGACGGCGATAATCAGCTTTCTGATACACTCAACCTCTTCTATGGGAGGTTTGAGCAGGTACCTGTTATACCACCATCCACCCCCGACCCTCTCCCTGACCCCCCTTTTACTATTTACGAGGAGGAGGTGAGAAGCATCTTCAGGGGACTTAAGAGGAATAAAGCCCCGATAACGTCTGTCCTACCGCTCTTTACCACTGCACTTCAGAACTGGCTGCGGTCTTTGCCAACATTTTCAATACCTCCCTCCATCAAAACTCAGTACCTAAGTGCTTTAAAGAATCCATTATGATCCCGGTTTCCAAAACCAAAACCATCTCTTGCCTCAATGATTATCGACCTATTGCATTGACATCAGCAGTCATGAAGTCATTTGAGCGCATTGTACTCAATTACCTAAAAACTGTCACCATCCCCCCCATGGACCCGTTACAGTTTGCATACAGAGCTAACAGGTCAGTTGAGGACACCGTCAACTTAGCAATCAATCACATACTGAATCACTTTGAGTCCGCAAATACATATGCCCGTATTCTGTTTATGGATTTCAGTTCTGCATTTAATTCATTAAACCCGGCCAAACTGCTCAGTATACTACTGGACATGAATATCGACCCTTGCATCTGTTACCGGATTCATAGTTTTTCAACCTATATAACCTATAGTCTTTCGACCTATATAAATATGTGGACGATACAACTATTATAGGACTCATTACCAACAACCAAGAAACTGCATACCATGCACAGATCAACCAAGCAGTGACCTGGTGTACATGATCTTTTACTTAACACATCAAAAACAAAAGAACTTATCGTCGATCTGAGATGTCAGCCATCCACCAAAACACCTGTGCTCATTGATGGCAAACCCATCTCCATCATTGATACATTCAAATTTCTTGGGATACACATCAGTAACAATCTTAAATGGAAAATCAACACAGATAATATCTACAAAAAAGCTCAGCAAAGACTTTTTCATCTTCGACAGCTTAAGAAGTTTAGAGTAAGGTCTCCTGACTGTCTCCTGCTCCGCTTCTACATGGCCATCGTTGAAAGCATCCTCATCTCATTGGCAGTCTTGACTCATTTTCCCGGAAAAAATTACAGCGTATCATTAACAGAGCATCTAAAGTTATCGGTTCACTTTTATCATCCCTTGAATCACTCACAAACGAACACTATGCAGAGCCCATAAGATAATTTCTGATACTTCCCATCAGACACACTTCGCCTTCAAACTACTGCCCTCTAGGAGGCGTTACAGGACAATAGCCTGCAGAACAACTCACTCGCTGAGGACAGTGGATTAAGCATGACCCTCATGTATTATGTATTATATATAGTAATGTGGTGTCTGTATGTACGTGTATGTTACTTTATATGTTAATGTCTAAATATCTATTGTCTAAATGTTGGAACCTGTATCAAAAACTGTACTGGAAACAAATTCCACCAGCCTGACTGTGTGGTCATTAAATTAAATCAAAATCAAATCAAATCAATGTCGATAATCATAACTCTACTTGTAAGACCATAATTGGGGCCACTCTTATTCATTCTGTATATAAATGACTTTTTAAATTCTTCTAAAATATTTCATAAAATCCACTTTGCTGACGACACAATTTTATTTACATCACACAGGAACCCACATACTTTACAAGATATAGTCAACTCAGAGCTAACCAAAGTTGACTACTCGTCAGCAAAACAAATTTCATTTTATTCAAATCGAACAAAAAAAAAATTAACTACACTGCTCACTGCCTGATTAAAATTAATGGGCAGGTGATAAAAAGAGTGCATTCCACTAAATTCCCGGGGGTCCTCATTGATGACTCTCTTAACTTTACATGTCATATTGACCATCTTGTAAGCAAGCTATCAAAGTATGTTGGCTTGTTCTATAAAATCAGACATTTTCTTCCTCTGTCTGCCTGTCTCATGTTGTACAAAACTCTCTTTGAACCACATCTAAATTACTGTAATGTGATATGGTGCAACACCTTTAAAAGTCATCTTAAAAAACTTGTGTCTATGCAAAAAAAAACCCATCCGGGCTTTGTTCTGGTCAGAGATAAATTCCCCCACCCGCCCTCTATTCTATCAGCTATTGAGATTAGCTGAGTTAAATCAATATAATAATGTCTGCCTTATGTTTCAAATTGTAAATAGGCTGAACTCTAGATTGAGTAGTCTTGTTCCTATCTCCTGCCCCCAGCACACTTACCAAACGAAAATCAAACCACTTATATTAGGAAAATGTCGCTGACATGTGCGCGCCAGTATGAGTGTTGTCTGTAGGGGACCGCAGATCTGGAACGGAATTGGCCTCAAGGTGTTGCCCTCTAACTCCAACTTCAAAAGACAACTAAAAATCACCTCATATTAACCTACATCTAATATCAAACAGTTTTCTAATGGATTACTGGGATGTATGATTATATGTGTATGTTTTGTTATGTATGTTCTGGTGTGCTCTGTGTGCATTTATCAAGTGATAACTGTGTACACTACCTTTTCATAAATCATGGGCCCCCGTCTATAAGCTTTCATTAGCTTCTTTGGGAGACCCATTCACTATACCCCAAAAAAAAGAGTAAGCTGAAACTTAAAACTTGAAATGATAAGAATTAGGAATTAGAGAAGATTCTGCAGACTGTATTTTGTGATAGTGTCTTTGGTTCTGGTTCAGCATCGTCCAGGTCTGACTTGCCGGCAGTTTTTCTCTAGAATACTTGGTGACCTCTGACTTTAGATGTTGCTGTGTGGTGTAGCTACCCATGGCTACACCAAGTGGTGTAATGAATTTGAATTATCATAATCAGCAGACATTACATTAAACAAGCAAGGATACTGTAAGCTTCGGTTCACTGAAGCACACGCCTGTGCTGTTCTGGGGTTCCTTTACAACCTGGTAAAAGGTTGATGAGTATAATTCACACCCTGTATATATAGAGTATAATACAGTAACTCAGCAATGAGGCGACAGCAGCAGCTGCGTACAGAATATGAAATCTTTAATGTCAGTGCACTAACAATACAACAAGATCTGCTGCACAACTCGTAAAACAAAAAGAAAACACTGTCCATACAGTACAGGGGCACACACTCTTCACACTCAGATGCTTTGGTTAAATGCTGCTGTATGTTTTATGGGTTAGTGCACAAGATGTCAGTATATAAAAATAAATATTTAAAGTATTACACACCATGTCTCAGGGTTCGTATGGTGTGTTTGAGGCCTGTAGTGGAGCTGATGGCTCATGTTGCTCTGAACATCGACTGCTGTCAGACTATTGTTCTTTTACAAAGACAGGAAACACACACACACACAGTGTGTGATGTCATTAAGGGGCGGAGTCTACAGCACGTAGTGGGTGGGGCTTAGAGCAGACAGGAAGAGCAGACACTTCCCTCTGTAAACAGAACAGGCCTGAGATCAGCCTCCTGCTATTGTTCTGCATGTGTGTGTCCAGAAACAAGGAGCCCAGTAGACCCACGGGGTCCGACAGCTCCGACCAAAACCCTGGACCCTACGTTTAACAGGCTGTTTGAGGGTTAGACTCCCCCAAAACATGAGCAGTGAGTGCACAGGTAGACAGGTAGGGTGATTCATTTTCTGTTGACTGAAAATATTCATCTCAGTTCACCTGCACACCAGGCTGCGGTCGTCTTCCTCCAGGAAGCAGATCTGTTTAACGACAGGTAAACCAGATACCTGCTCTCAGGTGGATTTCTCCTGGAGATCAGTTTATCAGGTGTCTCATCGTCTCTTCGCAGGTGAGCGTGAGAAAGAATCAGTTTATGACCTGCAGCATGTAAAGAGATTACCTGCTTAACCTGGTTTATCCAAGTTAATTTCATGTGACCGCACTGAAAGTGTGCATGTTTCCACCTGAGCAGGTGATGTCACTGTTAAGCCCCGCCCCTCTACCTAGTGAGTGGGCGGAGTCTGTGGTTTTGAAAGAATCCCTGCAGACTGTGGAACCTCTTTTATAACCCTTCTCTTTCCTGGAGGGCTTTTACTTTGAAAGACTGAGAAGAGTTGGGCAGAGAAGCAGACAGGTGAGTCCTTCACTCTCTGAACAGCCTCACCTGTCAGCAGCGTCTCACAGAGGCCGGGCTGATGACAAGAGAGAAAGAGAAGATAACAAACTGGAAGCATGCGGGTTAGCGTTAGCGTTAGCATCAGAAGCTGCAGGTCAGAGATTGTAGTTTGACTTGTTCTGACAAGAAGAAGCAGAGAAAACATAACGCTCATTCCTTGGTCTGTCAGCTGCTTCCACAGAGTCCCTATACAGAAATACAGAAAGTAAATTTCAAACACTTTGCCAACTGTAATGTGTCTAAATTAAAAAACACCACAGGGGGACACAGAACATGCTGCAGTTCAGATTGTGATCAGGTTAACAAACAGTACCTACAGCTGCTGAGCCGCCGCTGGCAGCTGCATTTCTGCATTTAACAGTGTGAAAATAAACTGCAGGTCGACACCCAGCTGAAATATGGCAGAGTGGGTGGATTATATTAGACTGGACAGGTGTTCCTAATAAAGTGGCCAATAGGTGTACATGTATTTTTGCTGTTGGCAGTTTGAAACCCGTCTTTCCGGTGAGTTTAACTCTGTGACCCTGCAGCACGTGTCACTCTTCAGCTACTTACTGATGTGAGTTTTCTCTCTTCAGGGGGGCCGATGAGCAGGTGTGACCGCTGACCCCTCACCTTTACATCTACTTGAGGGTGGCGGGCCCTGGGGAGCCCAAGGCCATCACCATGGCAACAACTTCCTCCCTGCTCGGCAGAGGTGAGTTCTCGTTTTACAGGAGACAGCTGCCATGATGGGCCCTGAATGCAACACCTGCAGCAACAGTAGTAATATTTATCAGTAGCAGTCAAAGTAGTGGTAGTATTAGTAATAGTAGTAGCATTAGCATTAACAGTAATAGTAGCAGGAGCATTAGCATTAGCAGTAGTAGTAGTAGCATTAGTAATAGTAGTAGCATTAGCATTAACAGTAATAGTAGCAGGAGCATTAGCAGTAGTAGTAGCAGGAGCATTAGCATTAGCAGTAGTAGTAGTAGCATTAGTAATAGTAGTAGCATTAGCATTAACAGTAATAGTAGCAGGAGCATTAGCAGTAGTAGTAGCAGGAGCATTAGCAGTAGTAGTAGTAGCATTAGTAATAGTAGTAGCATTAGCATTAACAGTAATAGTAGCAGGAGCATTAGCAGTAGTAGTAGCAGGAGCATTAGCATTAGCAGTAGTAGTAGTAGCATTAGTAATAGTAGTAGCATTAGCATTAACAGTAATAGTAGCAGGAGCATTAGCAGTAGTAGTAGCAGGAGCATTAGCAGTAGTAGTAGTAGCATTAGTAATAGTAGTAGCATTAGCATTAACAGTAATAGTAGCAGGAGCATTAGCAGTAGTAGTAGCAGGAGCATTAGCATTAGCAGTAGTAGTAGTAGCATTAGTAATAGTAGTAGCATTAGCATTAACAGTAATAGTAGCAGGAGCATTAGCAGTAGTAGTAGCAGGAGCATTAGCATTAGCATTAGCAGTAGTAGTAGTAGCATTAGTAATAGTAGTAGCATTAGCATTAACAGTAATAGTAGCAGGAGCATTAGCATTAACAGTAGTAGTAGTAGCATTAGCATCGGCCCTTTTGCTTGATATAAGAAAACCAAAAAGGTTAGGGTCAAGGGCAACAAGACTTGGTTGAAGATGCTAGTCTCAACCATGTCCAGTTGCCCTTGACTTTAACCTTCTTTCGACAACTATGACGTGGATAAGAACCTTCACAGACGATATAGGATAAGATACACTTTATTGTCCCCTGAGGGAACTTTGTCTTGGGCATCAGTGCTGCACAGCACTTCACACAAATAAAACACTGTTCTTTATTGTGTCCTATGATCCGGGTCCAGCAGGTCTGGGTCTGGTCCTGGTGGAGTTTCAGTATGAGTACCAGGGTCGGGACGGGGCTCTGATCTCCATCAAACCCAACGAGCGCTATGTCCTTTTGGCTAAGACCAACGACCACTGGTGGCAGGTCCAGAGCGACCGCAGTTCCAATTCCAAGCCCTTCTACATCCCCGCCAAGTATGTCAAGGAGCTGCCGCTGGACTTCCCCTCACCTCTGGACTTTGCCAAGACCCTCAGTCCTGAACCGGTGCTGCTTCCTGTGGTGGCACCTGTCCCGGTCCCGGTCCCTGTCCCTGTTCCAAAGACCCTGGAGGAGCCCAACAAAACCAAACCAGGGGACGAGGTGGCGATCCGACTTAGACCTGATGCTTCCAACAGATACCGCAAGACTGAGAACCGTATGTCCACATTCGGTGTCCCGCTGGACTTCCATGACCTGTCGCCTATTGTGCCGCCGGCACCGCGACATCCCAGCAAACCCACTGCTGCTCCCACAGAGACCAGGACCACAGCAACCAGTGAGACTACAAAGAAGGCCGACAATGCTCTGAGCAAAAAGAGCTTGTCTGGGTTCCTCGACGACCAAAAGGACTCTGGGAAACATCGAGTTCCCAATTTCAGTCCAGCAGACCCCATCTCTATACCCCGGCCCCAGAACCAGCCCATCCCTGTGGAAACACCGGTGGTCCCAGTGGTCCCAGTGGTACCGGTGGTCCCAACGGTCCCGGCGGTCCCCGCTGTCTCAGCAGTGCCAGCAGCCCCCGTGGTCCCAACAGTGCCAGCAGCCCCCATGGTCCCAACAGTGCCAGCAGCCCCCGTGGTCCCATCAGTCCCGGCAGCCCCCGTGGTCCCAGCAGTCCCGGCAGCCCCCGTGGTCCCAGCAGTCGCGGCAGCCCCCGTGGTCCCAGCAGTCCCGGCAGCCCCCGTGGTCCCAGCAGTCGCGGCAGCCCCCGTGGTCCCAACAGTCCCGGCAGCCCCCGTAGTCCCTGTGGTCCCAGTGGACCCTGTGGTCCCAGCGGTCCCTGTGGTCCCCGCACCCCCCCAACACAACAACATCCACAACACGTCCTTGGCATCTTCAGATCCCCATGACAACTTAGAGTCCCCCATAGAACCGGAGGAGGAGGAGGAGGAGAAGGAGGAGGAGGAGAACATCTGCGAGGAAGATTCACCGAAGGAGGAAGATTCGAACCACATCTACGAGTCCATCCTAGACCTGAACCTGGACCTGGAGGCTCTGGTTGGAGGAAGGGTGAGTCCTGCAGGGCCGCCTGAACCGGCACCTGTACCTGAAACTGCACCTGCAACTGCCCCGCCCCCCACACAGGTAAGACATCTAAAACCTTTTCAGTCTGTGTAGTCAAATGTCGTCGGCCCGATGGTCCTCCTTTTCTAGAGAAATTAATCGTTTCAATTTTGAATATTGTGGATTTATTGAAGTCGACTTTCAGTCAGCTTTCACTCAGCGTCCATGGTCTTCATCCTGTGTGATGTCAGCAGCTCTTTGGCTCTGACGTCTCCGTAGAGTTTAAAACTGAAGATAAAATATCTTTTGGAAGATAAAGTTTGAGGTGTAAATCTGTAGATTGACTGAAGGTGAAGCTTCATGTTTTTTAACATAGTTACAAACTAGTCAGTACATGTCTGTGTATATATTGTGAATTTTTAATATGCTAAAAACAAATGCCATCGTGATAAAGGCAATACTCTGACTTGTTGACACACAGGCTGAAAGTCGCTCCGTGAAGCGTTCAGCGCGTCAGCCTGCAGGTGACAGCAGAGTTTTAACGTTAAAGTCCTTCAGGGAGACGTTCAGGGGATGAAGCAGCTGTTGGTGTTTCCTCCGTCTGAGTCAGTTTGAGTTTTCTGTCAGTCTGCGAGGTTTGAAAAGAGTGATCATGTTGCTCCATCTGGCTTTTAGATGGTTGGTTTGTTTGGAAGAAGAAAGTTCTTTTTTGGTTGCTTTGAATGTCTTTTTCTTCTTTTTGTTTCCCTGGAAGAGGAATTGAGGATCTTATGGTGACATATTATATAATATTGCTAACTTGCAGAAGGAGACATGACTTGACTTTTATCTTCACCTGAACATGTTTCAACTTGTTCACAGAATAAGAGGCTCTGAGTTTCTTCAGTCAGCTCTGTGTGAAGGTTCAAGGTTTTCCCCGTGTTGTAGTTGCTGTTATTACTCTCTGATGTTGTTCAGGTCAGCTGTTAGCCAGGAAGCTAAATGAAGAATGGAGGAGGGAGAGAGGCGTTCTGTCCACAGCGTTACTGTGTCTCAGTCTCAGGTGTGAAGAACTGCGTCGTCTGTTTGTGAGACCAGCAAAAAAACTTTCAACCGCAAACAGTCCTACATCTGATTTACTGAAACATCTGAAGCAGCAACGTGAAACTTGGGCTGTAGTGTAACTCGTCAGGAGAGAGCGGTGTTCAGCAACATTTGGTGTTCTGTAGAAACTCTGAATGCTGCTCAGAGAAATGTGCAGAAACGCAGGAGTTCAGACGTCAGAGAGAGACTTATTACTTATTTTTTATTGTTAAATATATCCAGAGTCTGGGACTGTCCAGCTTCATCTGCTCTGAGAGGCTGTTTCAGCTTGTTGACGCCTCAGGTTCATTATTGCTCCTGTGGACTCATTTCTAAAATCAGCTGCTGAACTGATGAGTAACTAGTTACTTTTAACATGAAGTAATAAGTAAAGTAGTATTACTCTTTTAAGGGGTAATAAGTGAAAAGTAACTTATTCCAGTTCCTGCCCAGCACCATCTATAGTCCGGTTCTGGGTTTGGATTTGCTGCCACATGAGGTTCAGTCAGGCTGCAGGTTGTTTTACAAAATAAAAGCCCTCTCCCACGTGTCATTTCCTGCAGCGTCCACACAGGAAGCTGAGAGCAGAAAAGGGCTGTTTCCTCTTTTTCTTCTGATCAGAGCAGAAACAGACGACCTTTGACCTCCAGCAGCAGCAGAACCTTTCAGTCCTCTGGTTCTGTTTGTTCAGGGTTTTTTTTGTATTTATTGTTTATCGTTTGTTCTCACTGTATTGATTGAAATGTATTATTTATATTTATTTATCTTATTATATATCTATGGCTTATTTGTAAAAGAACAATAGTCTGACAGCAGTCGATGTTCAGAGCAACTTGAACCATCAGCTCCACTACAGGCCTCAAACACACCATACCAACCCTGAGACATGGTGTGTAATACTTTAAATATTTATTTTATATACTGACATCTTGTGCACTAACCCATAGATTCTTTTTCTGTGTGTAACTTTATTAACTCATTCACGACCTGGACGCGTCTGGTGACATCACAGCAGGATGTGATGAGGTCAGCAGGATGTAGTGATGTCACAGCCAGCAGGATGTGTTCAGGGTCAGACAGGAAACGGGGAGAGGACGCCGCTGCAGCGACGCCTGCAGGACGAGAGGGGAACAACCAGAGGAACCCGACACCTGAGCGTGTTTCATGGTTTTATGTCCCGGTGGGGAAACTGAGGTTCCTGCAGGCAGAGACGCCGTGTGAGGGGTCGGGTTACAATAAGGTCAAGGCGTGTGTGTGCGTGGACTGCAGCCATGTTGGGTAATATTCTAGCTGCAGGGAGTTTACATATCGTTGTAACTGGGTTGAGACCAGATGAGAACGGGTGTTGCTGATGCTGCTAGACTTCTGTCCTTGTGACTGTAACGTCCTCTGTCTTCATCTACGCTAGAAAACAAAAAAGGGAAAAGAGCAGGTGCGTTGGTTTGTTGACACGATGTCCAGATACCCAGCAGCCCCTGCTGCAGCCTGAGAACCACACCGTTTCATTAGGCTCTAATCAAAACTCATGTTTAGTCTCTTTTTTGGGACAGGAGTCAAGACAAATGCTCGTAGTTCAGGACTGTCCTGAATAGTTTTTTCCCGTCTGGTCACCCTGTTGTTACTAACATTATAACCATCGACGTGACTGTTGAAGTTATTACAGTTTTTCTCAATTACTTAAATACTATTAGAAGGTATTTGAACTAAAATTTCAAAACCACAACTCAAAAAGCACACCTCTTTTACTAAACTCTACACACAACTCCCTTCATTTCTCATCGCCTACACCATGAGGTCATTGTTCACTCAAGTCAGCAGAGTTGAGCTCATTTAGCACACAACTATAGGCGGAAACAAAGAGTCACAAGTGATCAGAAGCTTCAATAGACAGATAAAAGGGCTGGAGTCAGTTCATTCACTTCTGAGAAATGTGAAGAAAGAGGTCGAGGACACCAGAGAGGAGGAGCGAGAGGAGTTTGGAGAGAAGGAGATGGGATGGGAGGAAGATGAGGAGGAGGAAGAGGAGGGCCTGTCCCAGACCAATGAAATGAATAATTAGTTGTTTGGTGTGTTCTACTGAACATTAAGGAATAAGAAATGTTCAAATGTACGTTGTGTCTTTTGTTGCGGCCCTCATGTGAAAAGGTTTCTGAGGGGGAGAACCACAAACAACATTACTTACAACCGGTTTTTGTGGTACTGTTTTGAATTCATCACACCAGTGTGTAAGACTGTGTTGTCTGAGGGCAAAGTTTGTTTTTTTAGTAAGATTTGGTTTTGAGTGGAGACCTGAAAATAGGATGTTTCGTTTCAGTCTGTTTTGAACCAGCAGCAACCATGACGCTTTGCAAGATGACTTTAAAAAAAATTCAAACAGTGGACAGGGGCGTGACTATAGACTGGTGGGCGGGGCTACAGCCTGCAGAGGGGAGCTGCTGTCTGGAAACATGAGCCAGCTTCAGCTGCAGAAGGATTATAAAACTTTCTGACTTGGTTCTGATGGAGAGACTTGCAGAGAGGGGCATTGTGGGTAAGTTAACTTTATCAGCCAGGTTCTTTTTTCTAAACACCAACAGAAAGCGACGGCGCTCTGGACCACCAGACGCAGCAGCAGAGTGTGTTAAAGGACTGTTTCAGAGGAACAGCTGATCTCCAGTCAGCTGACAGGAGGGGAAGTGTGTTTATGTTAATGTGACATCAGTCTGTCAGGGGGGTCACACCTGATCCTGGTCTCATCAGGTCTGTCAGAGTCCTGCTGTGTCACTGTGCGGTTTATATGTACTGTGTGAGAAACATAATGTGCTGCAGCTCTGTGTTTGAGGTCCGACCCGGTCTGGATCAGGTCAGTTCTGTTAGAAAGAAACTAATTCTGATCCTCGGTTGAGAATAAAGAGATTAAAGGGAAAGTGATGATGCTGCTGCTGTTAGTGCTGTTGTTCCATTTGCTCTTGATTATGTTTGTTTATCTCTGTGTGTTTATGTGTGTGTGTGTGTTTATAAAACATAGGAGGAGTACTTCCTGTCTGGCAGCACCCCCCCTCCACCCAGATACACTCTGTTACTGTTAATGAGGAAAAAAAGAGTCTGTGAAACGGCTACTCTGTAACATCACAGAAAACTGTCACATATTATGAAACACTCAAAGGTCCAGTGTGTCATATTTCTGAGGATCTACTGACAGAAATGCAATAAAAGATCCATAATTATGTTTTCAGTTGTGTATAAAGACCTTACATATTGAACTCTTATGTTTTTATTACCTTAGAATGAGACCTTTATATCTACATGGAAGGACCCATGTTTCTATTGTAGCCCAAACGGGTAAAATGCTCTACAGAGTGCGTTTTGTCACTACGGTGAATACGTATGAAGAAGAAGGAATTATCAGATTTTTTATTTCCTCCTGTTTATTTCCTCCAGTGTAAAGTAGTGAGCGTGCAGCTTGTATAACAGTGTAAAGTAGTGAGCGTACAGCTTGTATAACAGTGTAAAGTAGTGAGCGTACAGCTTGTATAACAGTGTAAAGTAGTGAGAGTGCAGCTTGTATAACAGTGTAAAGTAGTGAGAGTGAAGCTTGTATAACAGTGTAAAGTAGTGAGCGTGCAGCTTGTATAACAGTGTAAAGTAGTGAGCGTGCAGCTTGTATAACAGTGTAAAGTAGTGAGCGTACAGCTTGTATAACAGTGTAAAGTAGTGAGCGTACAGCTTGTATAACAGTGTAAAGTAGTGAGAGTGCAGCTTGTATAACAGTGTAAAGTAGTGAGAGTGCAGCTTGTATAACAGTGTAAAGTAGTGAGAGTGAAGCTTGTATAACAGTGTAAAGTAGTGAGCGTACAGCTTGTATAACAGTGTAAAGTAGTGAGAGTGCAGCTTGTATAACAGTGTAAAGTAGTGAGAGTGAAGCTTGTATAACAGTGTAAAGTAGTGAGAGTGAAGCTTGTATAACAGTGTAAAGTAGTGAGAGTGAAGCTTGTATAACAGTGTAAAGTAGTGAGCGTGCAGCTTGTATAACAGTGTAAAGTAGTGAGCGTACAGCTTGTATAACAGTGTAAAGTAGTGAGAGTGCAGCTTGTATAACAGTGTAAAGTAGTGAGAGTGAAGCTTGTATAACAGTGTAAAGTAGTGAGCGTACAGCTTGTATAACAGTGTAAAGTAGTGAGAGTGCAGCTTGTATAACAGTGTAAAGTAGTGAGAGTGAAGCTTGTATAACAGTGTAAAGTAGTGAGCGTGCAGCTTGTATAACAGTGTAAAGTAGTGAGCGTACAGCTTGTATAACAGTGTAAAGTAGTGAGAGTGCAGCTTGTATAACAGTGTAAAGTAGTGAGAGTGAAGCTTGTATAACAGTGTAAAGTAGTGAGCGTACAGCTTGTATAACAGTGTAAAGTAGTGAGAGTGCAGCTTGTATAACAGTGTAAAGTAGTGAGAGTGAAGCTTGTATAACAGTGTAAAGTAGTGAGCGTGCAGCTTGTATAACAGTGTAAAGTAGTGAGCGTACAGCTTGTATAACAGTGTAAAGTAGTGAGCGTACAGCTTGTATAACTGTGTAAAGTAGTGAGCGTACAGCTTGTATAACAGTGTAAAGTAGTGAGCGTGCAGCTTGTATAACAGTGTAAAGTAGTGAGAGTGCAGCTTGTATAACAGTGTAAAGTAGTGAGCGTGCAGCTTGTATAACAGTGTAAAGTAGTGAGCGTGCAGCTTGTATAACAGTGTAAAGTAGTGAGCGTACAGCTTGTATAACAGTGTAAAGTAGTGAGCGTACAGCTTGTATAACAGTGTAAAGTAGTGAGTGTGCATCTTCTATAACAGTGTAAAGTAGTGAGTGTGCATCTTCTATAACAGTGTAAAGTAGTGAGCGTGCAGCTTGTATAACAGTGTAAAGTAGTGAGCGTGCAGCTTGTATAACAGTGTAAAGTAGTGAGCGTGCATCTTGTATAACAGTGTAAAGTAGTGAGCGTGCATCTTGTATAACAGTGTAAAGTAGTGAGCGTACAGCTCGTATAACAGTGTAAAGTAGTGAGCGTACAGCTTGTATAACAGTGTAAAGTAGTGAGCGTACAGCTTGTATAACAGTGTAAAGTAGTGAGCGTGCAGCTTCTATAACAGCGTAAAGTAGTGAGCGTGCAGCTTGTATAACAGTGTAAAGTAGTGAGCGTGCAGCTTGTATAACAGTGTAAAGTAGTGAGCGTACAGCTCGTATAACAGTGTAAAGTAGTGAGCGTACAGCTCGTATAACTGTGTAAAGTAGTGAGCGTGCAGCTTGTATAACAGTGTAAAGTAGTGAGCGTGCAGCTTGTATAACAGTGTAAAGTAGTGAGCGTGCAGCTTCTATAACAGCGTAAAGTAGTGAGCGTGCAGCTTCTATAACAGCGTAAAGTAGTGAGCGTGCAGCTTGTATAACAGTGTAAAGCAGTGAGCGTACAGCTCGTATAACAGTGTAAAGTAGTGAGCGTGCAGCTCGTATAACTGTGTAAAGTAGTGAGCGTGCAGCTCGTATAACAGTGTAAAGTAGTGAGCGTGCAGCTTGTATAACAGTGTAAAGTAGTGAGCGTGCAGCTTCTATAACAGCGTAAAGTAGTGAGCGTGCAGCTTGTATAACAGTGTAAAGTAGTGAGCGTGCAGCTTCTATAACAGCGTAAAGTAGTGAGCGTGCAGCTTGTATAACAGTGTAAAGTAGTGAGCGTGCAGCTTGTATAACAGCGTAAAGTAGTGAGCGTGCAGCTTCTATAACAGCGTAAAGTAGTGAGCGTGCAGCTTGTATAACAGTGTAAAGTAGTGAGCGTGCTGCTTGTAAAGTAGTGAGCATGCAGCTCGTATAACAGTGTAAAGTAGTGAGCGTGCAGCTTCTATAACAGCGTAAAGTAGTGAGCGTGCAGCTTGTATAACAGTGTAAAGTAGTGAGCGTGCAGCTCGTATAACAGTGTAAAGTAGTGAGCGTGCAGCTCGTATAACAGTGTAAAGTAGTGAGCGTGCAGCTTCTATAACAGTGTAAAGTAGTGAGCGTGCAGCTCGTATAACAGTGTAAAGTAGTGAGCGTGCAGCTCGTATAACAGTGTAAAGTAGTGAGCGTACAGTTTGTATAACAGTGTAAAGTAGTGAGCGTACAGCTTGTATAACTGTGTAAAGTAGTGAGCGTGCAGCTTGTATAACTGTGTAAAGTAGTGAGCGAGCAGCTTGTATAACAGTGTAAAGTAGTGAGCGTGCAGCTTGTATAAATGTAAATCTGCTGTCCCCTCAAAATAACACATCACACAGCCATGAATGTCTAAACCGCTGGCAACAAAAGTGAGTCCACTCCTGAGAGAAAGTTCCACTTCTCTGAGATATGAAACAGAGAAACAGAACATCCTGTCGGTTTAAAAGCTGGAACTCTTAAATATGTTTCTTCTTCACAAATGATTAATTGATCCTCAAAAGAGCTGCCCATTAATTTGGTGTTGATTAAGTAATTAATGGGCTAATTGTTACAGTAGAGACTCGTTACAGCCTTCAGATGAACTTTTGGACCAAACTGTCCTTTAAGTTCCCAGTTCTCTCTCTCTTCCTCTATCTAGGACACCAGCTCGCTCGCCCCTAACTCGCCCATCTACGCCAACGTCTCCAGTCTGAAGAAAACGTCCGTCCCTCAGATCTCCATCTCTGGCCCCGCCCTCCCCCCGCCTCCACCAGACCACCCCCCTCCGATCCCTGACCACACCCCCTCGTCTTCAGTTTCCTCCTCCTCTGGAATGATAAGCCCCGCCTCCCCCCTCAGCCCACACGGATGGCAGGTAAGGTGACCTCTGACCTCTAACTCTAAATGAAAACAGTGGTTGATGACATTTTTTTTTTTTTTTATAGCACCAATTTATCCCCTACAGCCTGAAAGGAGCTGCAGCGTCAGTTGACACAGAAGCAGATTTATAGATGTATATTTTTACGCCCTCTCTTTTAGTTTCAGTGATTCAAACACATTTCTGTGTCTTCTTGTGTTTACACTCAATGTTACTGCGACTCACTGAGCTCATTAAAGTTTCATCAGGTGGAACAGAAGCTGTTCGTTAAAGCTTGCATGTTACTGAGGAACAGGTGACGGTTCACTGCTTTGCTCAGAGACACGTGAACAGGACGAACAGCCTGTGAAGCTTCACCAACACAGACGTCCTGATGTTTAGGCAGAACGCTGAGGACAGGACTTTAACAACGAGAGATAAAATCTGTCTCTGATCTAAAGTTCACAGGCAGGTAGTTAACATATTTAAACACCGCTGTAGTGGTGTTGTAGTACAAGAGACCGGTCTTAAGACCACTTTTTGATGGTCTTGGTCTTGTCTCAGTCTCGGACATTGAGGACTCTGGATTTTATTTCAAGACCAGTAAAGACCATAACTTTGGGAATATCAATAAATTGCTTTTGCTTCATCTGATTTATTTGTTAACATCCAAACTTTGATTGGATGTAACCAATCACCCTAAAAATGTGTTGTTCCCGTTAACGACTGCCCCCCCTCCCCGCGATGGTCAGCATGGAAAGGAGTGTTGGAAAAAGATGCTTACATTGATTTCAGCTCTTAGTGTTTGTATGTGGGTGCTTTAGTGGGTATGTGGGTCTCTCAGATCAGTTTGAGAAGTACCTCTGATCTCGTTCCACATTTCAGTGTGTGTCAGGTAATGTGGGGAACTGGTCTTGGTCTCGACTCGGCCTCAGCCTCTAAAAGTCTTGGTCTTGTCTCAGTTGACTACAACACTGTGCTGCAGAATGGTTTTATGTTTTCAACATTTCAGCCTCATGTTCAGGAACAAGAAGTGACATAAGGTAAACAACTGGACATGTCTGTGCTCACCTGAGTGTAAGACAGGTGCATCAGTGGACACAGCAGAGTGTTAGACAGGTGCATGAGTGGACACAGTGGACACACCTGAGTGTTAGACAGGTGCATGAGTGGACACACCAGAGTGTAAGACAGGTACATCAGTGGACACACCTGAGTGTTAGACAGGTGCATGAGTGGACACAGTGGACACACCTGAGTGTTAGACAGGTGCATGAGTGGACACATCTGAAGAATAAAACAGCTGCAAGTGAACAAAATAATTTAAAGATTTACAGCAAAAACAAGTGCAATAAAATAATTATTAAATAAAGGAGCATTCTTATAAAAGTTTTTCAAAATGTGGGGTTAACACAAATAAGTACGACTGCGCCTGAACACACCATCAGTTCTCCTGAGTAGACTCAGAGTGGACGGTGTTCAGATCTCGCTGACCCTGAACGCTCCTTGTTCAGGTGCACACCGACCAGGACAGCGGGAAGGTGTTCTACTACCATCCTGTGACCAGACAGACCACCTGGTCCGACCCCCGCACCCCCCCGACCCCGCCTGCTCGAGACATGGGCCAGTCCAGGGGCAGCGAGGGGAGACAGCTGGCCTCCCCCTCCCCTCTGACCTGCCCCGCCTCCTCTCAGGTACCAACCATCATTTTATTTCTGAAAATGTGAGTAAAAAGAACACGTTCTGTTCAGATGAACTAAAACATCCTGTGAACTAACGTCCTGTCAGGGTTCTTCTTGGGAGCAGCTGGTGGACGAAGTCTCAGGGAAATTTTACTACTACAACCCCACCTCAAGAGCCACGACATGGGACGCACCAGAGACATCTGGCCCCTCCTCGTCCTCCTCACCCCCACCAGGACCTGCAGCCAGCAGGAGGTCCGGCGTCGGCCCGGTAAGGTCCTGGTTTACGTCTGGATTAGGTCTTCTTTAAGATCACTGAATTCTTTCGGGGTTTCAGCCCGGAAGTTCATAGATGTTTTGCTGTGAAACATAAAATGATTTTTGTTTGACTGAAAATATCCTGACGTCAACAAAAGACTCTTTAAAGCTCAAAAAGAAGTTTGAAGTCAGAATCCGACGATGCGTTCAAGGCTAAACGAATGTATTTATTATTGTCTTTATCTTTGAAGCACATCAGGTAGAACGTGAAGACATGAGAGCAGGTCGGTTCTGTCTTCAGATGATTTAGGATCATTTAATAACTTTCTATAATAACTGTGTTTGAAGCCTCCGCTGCCAGAGGAAGACTATCCTGTAGATGTCCACACTGACAACGACTCTGTCTTCACATCGGTACAACACACACACATATACAACATGTGAACCTGTCACCGGCTTTGACTGTTAATCTCCAGTTGCTTCTTTTCCCAGAATCCTCAACAGCACGCCAGTCTGATTCCCAGAGCTCAGCTGGACCAGAAAGATGCAAACAGCTCCCAGAGGAGGCAGCAGGAGGTAATCAGTCAGTAGGTCTGGCAGTCTGTCGGTGAGGCAGCTGGTTTATCATTCATTGATTCATTGGTTATTCCAGGCTCCGCCTTTGCCCCAATGGCTGATGGGAAATGGAGTTTCTGAGGAGGGAACAGTTCCACAAGTGAAGAACTGGAGACACAGCGTGGCCGAAGTCGTGAGTCTAACCAGCGTAGCAGTCTGTGCAGATCCATGAGCTGCGTCAACCAGATCTTAACAATAATCCTTCTCTCTGTTAGCCGTTTGCTCCGAGCCACCGGAGGAACGTCTCCGACCTCAGCGAGGTGACCCTCAGGAAGCAGTCCCCCGACAGCCCACAGGTAGACCCTCACTCACCTGCCCCCCTTCACACCCATTACATCTGTTCCCATCAGTCATTCATTCATTCACCTGTCGACACCTTGTGATCTCATCCTGTCATCTCTCATCAAGCTTTCTGATAGGCACAAACTGAAGAGGAATCTGTCCAATCGCAGCACAGGCTCCCACCAGCAACACGTAGGTCCTGTGCTCTGATTGGCTGCTGAAGGTGCTGGGTGTCTGTCTGGTGGTCGCTGGTGTCAGTGTCGTGCCGTTGGTTAGAGGTTGAACTAACTTTTGTTCTAACTCGCGCAGAATCAATCCAACATGTGGTTTCTAAAACACTAAGTCGTCACCTGAAGGGAACTTTCTGGGCAGGTCGGAGGGACGGCGCCCCCTGCTGTGTCTCCTCAGTGTCTGCAGCCTCACATTTAAAAATATTATTCCTGAAGATGCTGTCCAACACTTTGACACAGAGATTAATAATAAAGCAGGTAGTAGGACTAATGTTACCATCTTGTCCAGATGTGGCTGTAATGAGCACTGCAGCCTGCAGGGGGCGCCGGCAGATCCTCACTCTGTGTATATTGCTCAGAAAGTTGCCTGGTGTTTCTCCACTAACTCCCTCCTCTGGTTCTGCTGATGGTTCTCAGGGTGAGGCTGAGGAACTGCTCTGCAAAGATAATAACATCTTTTTTTCAGAGCAATGTTTCACACAAGGCACCGGTAACAAAATCAAATCTAAAATCTGACGAAACAGGAAACTTTCTGGTAACAAAGGGCATCAACTGGACCTGAAGAAGGAAGAAGAAGAAGGAACTAAGTTCAGTCAAGATTAAAGAAACAAACTTCTGATCTCTGACGACCATACTGACTCAGCAGGTCTGACTGCAAAGGGATGTTGGGGATGTCTCAGAGGTCCTTAAGAAGGATCTGGGGTTCCTTGAGAATTATCAAGGAGAGGTTCTGGAGATGATCGTGAAAGATCCAGGGATTATGTGGATCCATCTGTTGGTTCTTATGAGGTTCAAGGGGTCTCTGAGGGGTCTTTGAGTAGGCTGGTCTTGAATAATTTCTAGGGGACCTTGAGGAGATTTCGGAGTCTTTATAGATGTTCTGCAGGTCCTTGATGAAGTGTTGGGGGTCTTTGAGGAAGTCTAGAGGCCAGTAAGAAGATTTCCGGGATCCTTATAAAGGCACTATGAGTCATTGTGGAGGTTATTCTAAAGGTCCTTTGGGATCTTCTAGCAATGCCTGAGGAGATTCTACGGGTCTTTTAAGAGATGAAAGACTCGAGGGGACCTGAATGGGGTTCCAGAGGTTCTTGGGGAGTTTCTAAAGCTCACTGAGGAAGTTCTAAAGGTTTTTTTGAAGCACAATCTCCAGGTTCCTCCAGGAGATTTTATTAGCAGTGTGTGTAGTTTGGAACGTGAAGCCAAATGTTTTTTAGGACTCTTCAGTTAAAAAGTCTTTGTAAAAATGTTTTTGAGCTGCAGGTAGAGAGAGAAGACTGAACTCACTCTCTAACACACCACTCCCTTGTTTACGCAGGAGTCACATTTCAAAGCCGACCTGCAGGTTTAAAGAAACCTGAAGACTCACCTGTCTGTGTCTGTGTCTCCACAGAGCCACCTGCTGGAGAAAGCAGGGATCATGAACAAGACGAAAGTGGCTGAGAACGGCAAAAGGATCAGGTGAGACTTTAAGGGCACTTCGGCTCCAATGAAGTCAGCAGGTGTTGCTCTGATAACGTTCCTACATCTGAGAAGCTGCCGCTGAAGCCTTTAGAGAAAGTTTCAAAATGAACCCAGTGTCCAATAACACTAAAGCAGCCAAATCACAAATCCTCTCTACCTAATGGATATCACAACCAACAAACCAACAAACACCTCCACCAAAACAGAACCTGCTGGTCGGCAACAACAGACTTGGGGAGAACTGCACAAAGTCAAGTCGCAGATCATTACTTGACAAAAGCTGCTTAACACACCAAGCTAGGATCACGGTTAGACGGTTACAAGGTTGTTTATTTGTCATTATACGACACAAGGTTGGATAACGAAACCAAAGTTTGTGTGTTACCCGTGTTACACACAGAACTAATAATTAAATGTGTATTAAAATATGGTAACATTTAAATAAAAGTACAGTTCTTTAATCTGCGTCTGGGAGAATGTAAAGTGCAGCGACATGTGGCCTGTACTATGAAGCAGGGTACCGGTCTTATCCAGGTAACTTCAGGTGTGACTTCCCGATTAACCCATTCTACCAAAGGGTGTTACCGAGGTCTGTTGATTTGTCCCACTGAAGTTCTGAACACAACAGCATCACGTTCAGACAGCGAGCCCTGCAGCCGAGCTGGGATTTTAGAGAGGAATCTTAATTAATTAACGGGACAGTTTCTGAGTTGCAGCCTATCTGTAGTCTGTAATTGAATTCTCCTAAGTGTTTTCACATATTTAGATATAGGCGTCAATAACCGAGAAACAAAAGTCCTAGATTAAAGTGTGAAATTTACAAGAAAAAAAATAAGAAATAAAGAAAGAAAAAAGAAGAAATAAACTCAGGAGTGTTTCCTCGCTGCTAAATCTGATTGTGAAGTTTAATATAACTTTCATAATACACGGCAGACGTGTGTGTGTGTGATGTTACTGGCTCCTTTTTTCTATTACAGTGGACCTCATGTGCAGCTGGACCTTTACATCTTAATCATATTACACATAAAAGAAGAGCCCATAAAATACACAATAGAAATTTGAACTACAATCAAAACACTGTGGAAATTTTTAGGCTACAAATTTACTCCACGCGGTGCCAACAAGCCTCCCTGGCTCTGTCGGCCGCCACGACAGTAGATTTAGCCGTTAACGTATCTTTACATTCATCATATCCTGACACTACCAACGTGCGTTCCTCTGGAGAAATATGGAGCATGCGCCGTTGCGAAAAAACTCCTGCACGGCCGAACACGCCGCTTTTATGTTAACGTGCACCAACTCCAATTAAGTTAACAGGGACTCAACTACCCTACATCTTTTCCACCGTCGTAGTTTAACTCCAGTGTAGCGGTCAGAGTTTGTTACCCTGTCAACTCCCTTCGTAGTACAGGCCACTGATGGTAATCTGCTTTTATGGACCAGGTCTCTGTAAAGATGTGGGCACAACAATCCCTGAATTCTGTTGCTTGGCCCACATGAGTCCCATTTTGTCCAGGCTGGACCTTTCAGGAGCAGCGTAAAGTCGATGCTGGACCTACACGGTTCCTCTCTGAGCGATCACAGCGCCCGCTGTGGTACCTGGTCCGGTTTATCTGGCCGTGTGGATCGTCTAAGATCTGCTGCTCTTTAATCCAAAAACCCGTCTTCCTTTTCCAGTGACTGTATTTCTGTCGGAGGAAGCACAAGTTTCATCAATAAAGCTGGAAAAAAAGATGAAGAACAAAAGTGTAGTGAAGTTTGAGGGAGCTGCTGCTTCTACAAGCGCTGCTGGTTGCCACATTTAAGCATAGCACCTTTAACTTACCTAATGTGGTGAGAACATCAAGCAAACCCCCTGCTACCTGCCTAACTTACACTAAAGCCTAAATATCTACTGAGGTGTGCCGTCTTTGAAGCAGCTTTAAGAGCAGAGCTTTAGTGAACCTCAGCCATCTGGCCAAGGACCGGAAATGTTCCCAACAGAGAAACACGTCTCCACCCAGAGTTATCTCCTAAATAAAGATGGTAAACAAAAACAAACGAGCGATTTGATGGAGGGACAGATTACTCTGGTCGACTGGCACACCCCCTAACTCACCTGGGGGATCGCTGAAAAGTTCAGGTCAAAAGCACTCAGACACTAAACTCACCGCAGAGGGAGAAACAGCAACTCACAGCGAGCATCAAACAACACAGCACCTTAACAGTCGAACGCAGGGTTACACAGGCTGGGGGGAACAGCAATAAGACTCCTGCAGGGGCGATCTATCCTGGACTAGCCCCCAAAACATTAGGACTCTGGCTCCATGTAGGCAACGTAGAGGAGTTCACTGCAAACAAAGAAAAGGGTGGCTGGCAGGGTACCTGCAAACAGAGCACACAGAGAAGCTCAGGACATTACAAAGACAAACATATATGTGCTGTACAGTTGGTTCAGTTTGGCTTATTGTGTCTTTGTTTGTGTTGTTGTTGACAGGAAGAACTGGAGTCAGTCCTGGACCGTCCTCCACGGTGGGATCCTCACCTTCCACAGAGACCCCAAATTTGCTCCAACTGGGAACGCTGTAAGAACCAGTTACACATACTGGGCTCATCACAACACGTCTGTCATTTACTGTAACACCGAGTTAGACCGAGACCGAGGGGTTAGCTTTAGACTCACCTGCCCAGGCTGGCCTGTACCGTCAAAATAAAAGCCTTAATAAGAACTCAAATGAACTAAAATAATAATATTAATGTTGTAATCAAACTAATTCTTTAAGGCAAAACAGCAACTATATAAATGAATGTTTAATTAACTTAGCTCTGATGATGATGACTTCCTGTTCTGCAGAATAAATCGTCACAGATTGTTCCAGAATACACCGTCGAGCTGAGAGGAGCCTCGGTGAGCTGGGCCTCCAAGGAAAAGTCATCGAAGAAGAACGTTCTGGAGGTATCCCATCTGTTACCATGGTTACAGTTTGTCCACCATTCTGACTGGACGCCTTGCCGTGGTTACTAACGTGTTACTAAGGCGTGTGGTTGTGTTTGTGTGCAGCTGAAGACTCGTCAGGGCTGCGAGTATCTGATGCAGTACGACACGGAGAGCATCATCAGCGATTGGTTCAAAGTGATGCACGACGCCATCAGACAGCTGGTAACACACACACCTACACAAACATTATACTTGTGAGGACGTCCCACAGTGTCTCTTAAGGATCAGAGCTGAGTTTTAAAGAGCTTTACAGATTAACGAGATGATTGATAACATCAGCACGTTTCATTTAACTCTTCCAGGAACACGGTCATCAGTCAGAGGACGAGGACGACGTCGCTTCGGACAAAGAAGATAAAGACAAGAAGAGGACACGTGAGTCCACGATCTACAAATTTATATCCATTAAGTCCACCTGCTTTCTGGCCTCATCCTCTGGATCTAGATTTAAGCAGAAATGTTTACAACGTGTGATTGGAGAGTTGTGTAAACCTAGTATTTATTGCTGCTCTTACTAGTATGTATTGTCAGTTGTAGATCTGTATTTGATGCTCTGTTGACGCTTGTATGTTGTTCCTTAAAATGTAAGTCGCTTTGGATAAAAGCGTCTGCCAAATGAGTAAATGTAAATGTGTGCATAGAAATTTCTACTCTAAGACTCCATCGTATTCTGCCTTGCATCGGCACTACAGCCACAAAAAGCACCGAGCCCATCAACATCACGCCTGCAGTCACTGGTCTACACACCTCTCCACTCACATATGTAAACAGTTCTGCTGCATTAATGGACCCTCTCGTGCCGTCATCAGCAGACTCAGTTCGCTCAGTTGCAGTCGATCTGTGAATGTTCAGAACTCCAGAACAAGTGAGAAAGTGGACCTTGAGTTGAGATTGTTTGGTCAGTTGGGGTTTTCAAAGGTGAACATGGAGAATAAAATGTGGCCAGCTGAATCTTCTTTATGACAAACTCTGGTCAGCAGCTGGTTGATGTTTTCTGTTTCCTCTCAGTAGAATCAGACGTGTCTTCACCATCAGCAGATCGTCTCTAAACTGAGATTAACAGCAAACATTAAAACTCTTTAAAATCCATCTGAAAATCAGTTTGCTGAACTTTCAGGAGACACAGTTATGTGGTCCAGCTGACCCACCAAAATAACTCAACGTTTTACTGACTACTGTAGAAGATCTACATTCGTTGAATTAAGGTTTCTTCATTTTTCCCCCTTATCCGAGTTGAGGGTGTAGGTATAGAGGCCGCCATGTGCTTTACATTGATTTTGGACTATATAAAGTTTACTTGACTTGATGGTAATAAGAATTTTTTCATTAGCAGGTATTTGATGTGTTCTTATACAGATTATTTGTTTGAACATTGAGATCTTTTGGACTGTATGTGACACAATCCAAAATAAGTTAAAACACCTCCTCAGAGATTGTAATTCTGCTTCCTGTCCTGCTCAGACATCAGACATTCTTCTTCTCTGTTTTAGCGACCACGAGTACATCAGGAACTGCCGACTCTGAGCAGACGCGAGTTCGGACCAAACTACGGCGTTTCCTCCAGCGCAGGCCGACGCTGCAGAGCGTTAAAGAGAAAGGCTACATCAGAGGTAAACTTCCATCTCTTTGAACAGGACAAGTCCACACAAAATGTAACGACGGCCTCTTAAACAAAGATGAGGTGTCTGTTAACGGATAGTGAGTAATTCTACGTGATGATGCACACTGAGGCGAGTCAGTATATCATATGTTTATCTCTGGTCCAGATAACGTGTTCGGCTGTCACCTGGATACACTCTGCCACAGAGAGAACACCACCATCCCCAAATTTGTGGAGAAATGTATCAAAGTGGTAGAGCGGAGAGGTAAATATACAATCCACACACACATTTAATACCAGTAAACCCACAGCAGACTGATGTGTGTGTGTGTGTGTGTGTGTGTGTGTGTGTGTTCAGGTCTGCAGGTGGACGGGATCTACAGAGTGAGCGGAAACCTGGCTGTAATCCAAAAACTACGACACAAAGCTGATCATGGTAACAAACTGTCCAGACCTGCAGACAGCAGCATTAATCTGATTCAGTCTGTTTGAAAAAAAATGTTTAAGTGTTTGACAGTAAGGACAGAGCAGAGATTAAAGAGTAAATCCACCATGAACCTCTGCTCTGTAATCATGTAAATGACCCCTCAAATCCTTCAAGAATGCCAACCATGTTCTTCTACCAAAACAAACATGGACGCCAACCAGCAGCTCGTTTATGTGCAGCAACATTTGAACTAAAAAGAGCAAATAAAGAGGGAAAAAGCAGAGAGTCTGGTGAGAGTCTGGATGGAGGCATATAGGACTGTGGAGTATACAGAGGTCGCAGACGTCAGTGGCAAATATCAAACATAAAAAATGGGCAGGCCTGGACTGTATTGATAAGTGAGTCTGATATGGACCAATCGGACTCATTTGTCCTACTGTGTGGCCACACCATAGCATATATAAAAGAAGTGGACGTAGTTACAGTGACGTCCCCCGTTGGTTTGTGGACTGCCGTTTTAAAGGCCCTAGTTTGACATTTTGGCCGTCGCCATGTAGATTTTTGGTATCCAGGCACCGGATGTGACCATATTTGGATGAGCAGGTGGAGCTAGCTAGCTTGGTTAGCAACCTGGTGCATCTGGAATTGATGTTAACTCTGATAGGATGTTAAAACAGCCTGAAAACAAAACATACTTTTTGGGAAAAACAGCTGACTAATAAGCTCTTTCAGCAGCGCTGGTTAAATGTACACAGAGCAGCAGGCTGTTACAGAGAATGCAGGTTTATGTGCCTGATGTAATTACACTGTGTTTATGTCCAGAGAGAATCTGCAGATGATTTGTTTATACAAACGGAAGGTTTCTCATTCTTTGTCTTTTGCATGATATCCCTGTTGTCCCTGCAGAAGAGCATCTGGACCTGGAGGACGGACAGTGGGAGGAGATCCATGTTATCACGGGGGCTCTGAAACTTTTCCTGCGGGAGCTTCCAGAGCCGTTATTCCCCTTCAGCTGCTTTGACAAGTTCATCGCTGCCATCCGTCAGTTTACACTACAAACTATACACTCCTTATGCACAGCTTGCAAAATGTTACACAAACATTTAAACCACAGCCAATATGAAGCTGTCAGTGTTTAGCAGCAGCTCTGTGTGTTTATTTCCATACAGAAGTCGCAGACTACAGCCTGAGAGTCTCCTACATGAAGGACCTGGTTCGCTCCCTGCCTCTGCCGAACCATGACACCATGGAGCTGCTGTTCAAACATCTGCGCAAGTGAGTTCCTCCTGAGGCTTCTTACAACCTGAACAATATACAGAGGAGTAGTTTTATACTAGTTAAGGGTGATAGTAAGCCAGACACTCACAGCAGACAACTTGTTGATGAACTTTGATTTTAACCTTCTGTGTTTTGGAGGGGATAATTATGCTCTGGGTCCGGTGGGATCTTAGCTAGTTAGTGTAGAAAACATATAAGACACCTCTCTTAGATAATATCACCCACTGACACTGACAGAAAGCTCAAACAAGTCTTTGGTTTGCTAACGATGGTAGAATGTGAACAAAGGGAAACAGGTTTTATAGGTTCTAAGAAGATGTTTTTTCTTTTATTGTTTCCCTCCTCAGAATGCTCTTTCCTTCTGCTTGTTGGAAATGTTAGTTCAGATTGAGAAGTGTCTTAATTTACCCAGAACAGATGAATGAGTCTCATTCTGAGTGCAAAGCACCCTAAAATATTTGAGGGGTCCTATGCCAAATGTGATTCTTTATTTTCCATGGTTGGAAAAAATATAAAATACAAAGACTTTTGCATCTAGAATGGTTAATTGGACTAACAGGCTTTTTAAAATGCAGAGGACATACATACTGTATATGTCCATGCTAATTTATACTATGCTCAACTCATACATCTAACTCAAGTCTGTGTGTCTGTCTGTCTGTAATGTGTCAGTGACACGGAATAAAAATGTTGGGTACGTTAGTATGACCAAGAACGAAAGACTCCTGAAAACCTTAATCTTTTCTGTGCTGTGGTAGTTTGTAGTCTGGTGCAGTGATGATACATGATGATACATACAAAACAGAAAAAAATAATTTACTTTGCTCAACTCGCACTGTTTTTGACTTTCTCTCTCTCCAGGGTGATCGAGAACAAGGATTCCAACAGGATGTCGGTTCAGAGCGTTGCCATCGTGTTCGGCCCCACGCTGCTCCGGCCCCAGTCTGAGTCATCTAATATGACGATCAACATGGTGTTCCAAAGCCAGATAGTGGAGCTCATCCTCAGGGAGTTCCAGACCGTCTTCTCCCAGAGGTAGGGGGAACCTCCTGGAGCTCCTCTGGAACCATGCAGAAGCCTCCGTGGACCTCCTGGAAGCCCCCCAAATGATGAGTCCTGCCAAAAGTCTTCTCAGGCTTTAGACCCAAACATCACTTCCTCTCAAACCCAAATTCACCAGGGACTGAACTTGGAACTCACTGGCTACATGATGTCCCTTTCTAACAAATAGAACTTGTGAAAGTGAAAGTACCTAGAACTCTGCAGCAGTCTTGAAACTGACAGCAGCTTGGTTCTTCTTTCAAGGCAACAGACCAAATAGAACATAATTTTCTTGTCACCTTAAAAACCCAAAACACTGAGCAATAACTCTTCCAACAAATTGAAGGTCCTTCTAGACCCTTGTAGATCTCTGGAACCAAACATCATCACGTAAATGTCTGTCACAAAAAATCAATAGACATTCAAGTTCTCTGGGATTACAACCTGAACCTGCAGGCTTCACCAGACCCCTTTCTAAACCCTGTGCCTGAAATGCCTGAACCATCTGGGACCCGGGACTGGTTTTAAAACCTTAAACGTGAATCATGTCTCATTGCAAAGGACCAACAATTCCACGTCAAGCTAAAACTGTTTCAGAAGCTTCAAGAACCTTGTAGATCTTTCTGGACCCAATCTCATCTTCTCTTCCTGTTTTTAAAATGTATGGCCATTAAAGCTACGAGAGTAGAATTTGGGGACTGCAGACTGATACCCTTCTCTTATCACTGTGCTCTACATGATCCAGATGGAACTTGAGTGGAACTATCTAGAACTCTGGACTGATTCTAAAATTTTAACCAGCAGCTTCACTGCTCTTTCAAGACCAAACAAACTTAGCACCTTAATACCCCAAAATGTCTCACTTTGTGAAAGAACTGTCCCAACATTTTCCATATCCTTCCAGAACCTTGTAGAACTCTGGACTCAAACATCCTCTCCTCCTTTTTAAATCCAGATTCTGTGGGTATTTAAATGCATGGGTGTTGAACCCGGAACTTGCTCTCACCACCAGACTACCAAGCCTTATAAAACATAGTTACCAATCCTTTGACTGAGAGCTATCTATACAGGTTCCAGATCATTTTGGAACCTTGAAGAACTATAGAACCAAACATTATCATCCTCAAGTTAAACCTGGAATCTGTTGGTTACACAACACCTCTCTCTCACCACCAGACCACCAAGCCTTAAATGACCCAGGTAGAACCTGTGTGGAACTAAAACCTTGTACTGGTTCTAAGATCAGAAATTCTTGCATTCAGACCCATGACAAGCTGGGAAATCACAACAGACCAACCATCTTCAGGTAGTGTCCCACTTGCCTGGCACCTCAGAAACACAAAGTATCGCTACAACCTTCCAAACTCTTGACTCTTGACCTTTGGGGAAGACAAGAAAGTTCCAGGTGTTTTGGCATTCAAATACCTCTCATCCCCAAAGAAAACCTTTTCTGAGCCAAGAAACACCAAACAGGATTAACACTGTTTTTGAGGGAAGACCTCAGACTGACCCGTCCTGAAGACAGCCTGTGGAATATTTTATCGTCAATACTATGTGATTCTAACTCACTATCCTCACTCCTACCTGAAATCTGTGCCCAAGAATACCAAACATATTTACTTACAGAGACTCTGGAGCCCCTAAAAATAAATTCTCAGCTGAACATGTACATTGTTCACAAGACTCAAACCCTCTGAAGATGTTAACAGAGGAAGGAAAGCTCTGTGTCCACAACTACTTTTGTGTCTTTTGTGTCTTAGATTTGACTTACTGCAGGCATCAAAAGACTTGATGCTGATTGGCTCAAGTCTTACCTGCTCACTCAATGTTGTAATCGATGACCTCTGCTGCTGTACAGGTTTCAGATTGTTTGTTGATTAGTATGGACTCACAGCCTCAATCACACTTAGTGTTTTACGCTACGAACAATGGATCTTCTACAACCACACACCTGCGTTTACTTTCATTCAAAATATCTACTTGTCCATGTTCAGTATATTTACGGCCCGCTCTCATTCCCAGAGCGTGACTTTGTCACGTCCTTCAGCGTCCGGTACCGACACAGATCCTAGTTCAACACACTGGGGGAAGCCATCTAGCGTCATTTTTCACTACTATAAATAACCAAAAAGTCAGAGTAAGGAGGCGGTTGGGATGATGGTGGGACAGACACCGGATTTTCTCCCAGGAGCCCATTGTTTGTTTCCCATGTGAAGCAAAAAGTCACTATTGATTCCTTTTAGTGATTATAATTTAGGGTCACGTAAGTAACGTAGGTATTTTAATCCAAATCATGATCTTTTCCTAAAACTAACTAAGCGGTTTTGGTGTCTAAACCTAACCCAGCTGCAACATTTAACAACATTAACCACTAGTTTTACTTTGAAAGTCTAACAGGATGGTGCATATTCATTCTTGCTAACTTGACTGCGGAGTCCTACACCTTCAAAACCAATGCTTAACAATGCTAAAGGTACCCAGGGCATTAAAAAACGACACCAAAGGGTCTTGACAAAGCGCCCATATATGACGGGATGAGAGCGGGTGAATTTAGACTCAGTAAGTAAGAACTGATGTGTTCAAAGTATGGATCAATATATTAACTTTCAGGCTGTGTTGCATTCACTGATGCTGGAAAACACACATTTGCACAGAAAAGTAATCTAAGTCAGTATATATGTTGATACATGTTTTACTGAAGACCTTCGTCATATTAAACACTGGATCAAAATGTAATCTTGGTGACGTGATGTCTTCAGGTACAGTATGGAGCCGACATGTTGTTTTAGACTTTCATGAAATGAAGTCAGAATTCAACTGAGAAACTGAATCAAATAATTCCAGTCTTTGTGCTAAGCTAGGCTCGACACACCCTGGAGCTGTCGATTAAGACAGAAAACAAGTGGATTTATTAAATCTAAATAACGTTTACTAGAAAGTTCAGAGGACCCAGGATGATTCCCTGAGGGACTTATCGAATACAGAAAACAAGATTTACAGAAATGTTGTTGTTAGTGGGTTTTTTTAAGGGATGAATTTTACAGGAACATTTTTACTGTTGTTTGTGTCCTGCTGTAACGATGGGTTCAAGAAATGATAGCGTGTACAATGTATGTTTTTATAGTGTTGAGTTTATATGTATTACAGATATAGAACAAAGTTAACATGGACGACTAACAGATTAAACTCTGTACATAAGAGGGTATTTTACTGACCTAATAAAAGAGATCTTTACGCCAGTGTTCAGGTGTGTTTCATCAAATATTATAACAGAGAGCAGCTAGTCATGTAGCATAGCTCACTCTCTCACAGATGTCCCGTGTACTTCTGTCTTTGTGCACCTGCAGCCTCGGCAAAAAACACAAACACTTTTATGAATCCAGTTTATTTCTAGATGAAATCACAACTATAATTAAAAGGTACAGTGTGTAAGACCTGATATTAATTTCCACCTGTCGAATTCATACTCCAAAAAATATGACAGTGACTAATAAGCTAAAGTGTAATTCTACAGGAAGATAAACGCACACGGAGAATAAGCTCCAGACTAAAGAACAGCCCTGCCTCGGTTAGATAAGAGAATGAACCGTGACAAAACAGTACAATATTAGTCAATATAAATGCTCTGATTCCACTTTAACACCTAAAACTTTAAACTTGATGAAGAAAAATAGAAACAGTAAAACAAAAGTTGATATCTTGACGTCTGCAGATGTTTGTCCTGGACAGTGTGCAGCTGTTACCATGGCAACCCCGTTACCGAAAGTTTGCTAAAAAAGAACGGAGAGAAAGAAAAGGTTTCACGGTGCGTTCACGTGTCATGGGATATTTTTTAAGTGTCACATGAAACTGAAATCTTACCGGCGTTTAACTCCATCGGACCTGAGGACAGAGAGACGGGACGTTAGAGGCTGTTTCAGATGAGAGGACTCGTTTGGAACAGTTTTATATTCATGATCCTTAGGAATAGGGATGTCACGAGAAGTTGATTCCTAAACTTTGAAAACATGGCAGTACTTGAGATCCAAGCTGCAGCAACAGCTCCGCCATCAGGTATGTTGTTGGTTTAATATCTACAACCTTCAACAGCTCCGTGTCAAAGTCTGGAAGTCTCCCAGTTCTGTTGGAGAGCTAATTTAGACGTTTCAGTTTGGGTCAACTCAGAATCACCAAAGATGATGATGCAGTTCGCAGCACTAAGAAATGAATGTCTGAATGTCCGTTCTGCACATGTGCGTGGGGTTAGGGGCCAGGCGGTGTCATTAAAGGCGTTAAATCTGCACATGCGTAGACTCACAGTGTCTGTCCAACACGCCTGTAACTGCAGGAGGAGTTATGGACGTCTTTAAATACAATACGATCCATTTCAATCTATAACTGTTTAGTTTTTCAACACAGAAATCTCAAGCCGCTGCCAGAATAGAGAGAGAGAGACCCTGAAACATTTCACGCCTGAGAGTGAAGTTAAGAAATGAATGAATTAATCAGTGTAAGGTTTCACCTCTTGTCTGGACATCCTCTCTTTATCAACTGCTAGTTGTTCTACTGTTCAGATGTTTTTATTGAAGGAGTGCATGATGGGATTTTTCTGGCATCAGTATCGACTACTAAATGTCTGGTGTTGTGACGTCCCTGTTTATGAATCAGGTTTGAGAATTCAATGCTAGGAGTCTTTTACTCTTTAGTTTAGAACAACGTGTAAACTAGATTTTCCACACATCTGATCTGAAGAATGAGTGTTTGTAGTTTTAGTTCTGACCTCTCTGCGTAGGTTTACCTGTGTTCTGACTTAATGCGTCCATCAGGTCGTTCCTCCCGACCTTCTCTAACACGTCGCGGGTCACCCTCACCGGCTGGCTGCTGTACGTCTGAACGATCAGATCCACCGTCTTCCGTCTGTCTGCGTTCTCCAGGTCACAGGGGGAAATTTCCAGGAAACCGTCATCTTTATTCAGAGTGGCCTTGGTTTTGGTTCCGTACTCCTCCAGGTAGTACTTGAAGTCGTTAAACTCTTCAGCTTTCAACTTCTTCAGCGTTTTCAGCAGAAGCTCTTTAACTGTCAGCTCCATGCTGCAATTTAAATATAGAGGAAACAAATATGCATGCTCCAAAGAAAGTATCTCAAGTGTTCCCAAAGTTTTTTGGGGGAGGACCCTCGGACCATGAACCCGATATCGTGCATCGTTCGGTCTCGTTATCTGATCTGAGGCCTGATGTCCCCACCGAGTGACGCCCTTTCTTCTACTGTACGTTTTATTTATTTGACACGTTATGGACCAAAACGATGAACTGGAAGAATAATCAATAATGAAAATAATCGTTACTTGCATGCAGGTCTTGACATTAACGTTTTTGCTCACTAGCCAATGTGGCTAGTGGTTTTCCAAAGATACTAGCCACACAGCATTTTCACTAGCCACATTTTTGTTGTTGAAAAATTATGTTTTATATGATTAAAGTTGACTATGGCCTGCTAAAATTGACTAATATTATGATTAGCTTTGATAAGGTTGTTTGTAAACCTCCTTTTTTATGAAAACATGTATTCTAAGATATTAAAAGAGTAGATTTTTATTGTATATAATTAAAGTGCTGCACGTGTGTAAAAGATTCTTCTAAACTAAACATCAAAAATGCAAAACATGCATCAGGAAAACTGTTATTTACAGTAAATACTGTAATACAGAGCAGAGTAGTATTATTTTTGTCTAAGAAAAAGATTGTTTTGCATGTCTGACTGGATTTATGTTTATCATCATGAGGCTCTGAGTAACTGGAGATACGTCCACCTGAAGTCTTTATTTTCCAGATTAATCCCATACAAATGCATCTCCTGCTTTCCTACAGGGCATGATTACTTTTACCAAAAACCAGAATCAGCTCTGGAAAGGTAGCTGTGATATGACCATATGATGTGATATGAGGGCAGCCCTGCTAGTAACAACAAGTCACGAAGATCTCTGTCATTTTACAGCATTTAACGGCTTTTTCCTTCTGCCTTTTCTCTTTATCTCATTCTCCTTTGAATGTCATACCATCATATCATCAGGTTCAAAGCAGACGGCAGGCTGACGGTCTGCAGGTCTGAGGGACTGCGGCTGCCCTGTGACAGATTAAACTTATTCTCCTGTGACAAAAGTCCGGATGTCATATTTGGCGTCCTCACGCTCACACAGCGGCACTGCAGGAGAGGCGCCTGTTGTGTGGATTCTCCTGCTATAAAAAGCTTGCTTTGTCATCGCTGCCGCTGGTCAAGTTAATAATTAACGGCAGGCCAAAACAGCACTCGGGCCTGTTTAATCTTGACAGAATCTTCTAGTTTACAGTGCTGTCGGTCAAGACAACAGGCTTCACAAATGGACCAGTGTCACTCGTTTGTAGTCTTGTCAAAAGGCATCTGAAATAACAAAGTGGCTAGTGGGAGTGACTGTTACCCGCCACGGCTGGCGGGTTGGCGGGTGTTAATGTCAAGACCTGGTTGCATGTATTGAAGCAGAAGGTGCTCTGTGCTGCTGGAAACACTTAAATCAGCTTTAATAAGTTTGATTTGCGTGTTTTCAGTGGCCTCACTGTGCTTTGTGCTGCTGGAAGAAAGACTAAAATATGACAAAAATAAACATCTTAAAAATATCAGCACATACTCGATATAATATGTTGGAACAGCCTGCAGCCCAGTGAGCTTGTACATGTGGTTTGTACATGTTCCTTAGACTGTTTCTGATACTGGTGAGAGACACGCAGTATATTATATATTTACTGTGTAACCTACAGTTGAAATGAGACTGAAACTGTTGGACCTGTTTTAGTTCCTCAGAAGTTAGAAAAACCTGTCGGTTCAGTCTGAACGTGGAGGAAACTCTCCTCCTGCAGCGCTGCCAACACCTGACTGATCTGATCAATACAACGTTTAAATAAATACAAACAAAAGACTAATTTCAATTCAAATGTATGGAGGATAAATGGTGGGGCTCCTCAGGGTTCCGTGTTCGGGCCCTTAATGTTTATATTCCACACAACAACTTTAAAATTTTAGTTTTGTTGTTTTATATATTGGAATCAGCTTTTGAACATTTGATCTAAAGACTTCACGGCCATTGTTAATCGATTTGATAACTCAGTCGATTCAGTTCACAACATGTGAAAGGGATTTGTTTCAGTTATAGATGCCCCCTAGTGGCCTCAGACCCAGAGGTCATCATACATTAGGTTACAGAAGTCTGTAAAATAACATAATTCTCAGATAAAACACGTGTTGTAGATATAAAGTGAAGCATAAAACTAATCGTTATGTTTACTCACCTTTTTCAAATGTGGGACCAGCTTGTTCAGAGTGCTGGAAACATAAATATAAATTACGTCAATGTACCAAACTGGATCAGTTCTTATCTCGTTGTTTTATCCATCTCAGACGGTTATATCATTAAAAAATCTTTTTATTATCAGTGTAGTTTCAGTTTGAAGAGCAGAAACCGACTCACCGCCTCGTCTCTGAACCTGCAGTCAGGTTTATTTAGTCTCCTTGTTCCTGGATCTCCTCAAACTCCGCCCCCTTCAGTTCTCTGGAAATATTTCCTGATTGTACCTGAAGTCACGTCACCACACCTCACCTTTATCTTTCCTGGCAAACAAATACAAAAACTCGTCTGAAGGAGCAGAACTTCTAAAGAGGAGTCAGTTACGGTTACCTGATTTATTATTATTATTAATTATTATATGTTTGTTGTTATTTACAGTCTGCTGTTGTTTAATGAAACAGTAAGCTCCCAGCTACATGTGAACACATCGCAGGATGAAGATACAGAGAGTCAGTGAACACATCGCAGGATGGAGATACAGAGTCAGTGAACACATCGCAGGATGAAGATACAGAGAGTCAGTGAACACATCGCAGGATGGAGATACAGAGAGTCAGTGAACACATCGCAGGATGGAGATACAGAGTCAGTGAACACATCGCAGGATGAAGATACAGAGAGTCAGTGAACACATCGCAGGATGGAGATACAGAGAGTCAATGAACACATCACAGGATGAAGATACAGAGAGTCAGTTAACACATCGCAGGATGTAGATACAGAGTCAGTGAACACATCGCAGGATGGAGAAACAGAGTCAGTGAACACATCGCAGGATGGAGAAACAGAGTCAGTGAACACATCGCAGGATGTATCTCTGAAACGTCGTATCTCCATAAGTCGGTGAAAATAGTTTCCTCACATGAGCCAGAAGGTTTTTA